CACCACGCGGTCCCGCTCGGGCGCGGCCTAACCGACCCCTAGCAAACCGCCCCCTCTCGTGGCGCAATCCTGGCCTTTCAGGCTCCCCTCCGCCCGCACACATGCGTCTCGGGGCGAGGCGAGGGGGACGTCAGGGAAGCGGCTGGTTTGCTGGGGGTCGGTTAGGCCGCCCCTGACCGTCGCCACACGTCAGGGGGAAAAGAAACACACAGACACAATGAACCCTCGATTCCCCCGAAAATGTGGGAAAACATGGGAAGCGGGGGGGAAGACAGGAACCCAGAAAATATGGGAAAATATGGAAAATCCTGCTATCTGTGTGTCTTTATCTGTGTGTCCCGGGGCCCCTTCAACACGGCTCTGGAGGCCCCCACCTCCGTCGCCGCGCAGCACAGACTGCGGGGGCGGGAGCAGGCGCTGCTGGGGCGCTTCCGTTGTGCCGAGGCGCCCGTGCCGACGCCCCCGGGGGGCCGCGGGGGGCGGCGCGCCGACGAGAGGCACCCCTCGGGGGGGGGGCGGGGCCTCCGCCGGACAGGGGCGCGCCTCCCGGGCGATGCGCGGCGGTGGGTGGCCTGCCGCGGCCACGGGAGGGCGGCTCAGAGCACGAGCTCGGTGCGCACAGGCACGCCTCGCGGAAGCGATACTGCACGTGCTCCAGATTTCGTAAGAAAGGGAGGGGGGTCTCATTTCGGGGGGGGGTCTCTTCCAAGCTATCTTGGAGGGCATGGGGGGGGTCTGGGGACGATGTTTTGGAGGGTTCTCCCACGGGGGAGGTCTGAAATGGCTCGTCTTGGAGGGTCCAGACCCCCTCTCTTTTATTATGAACTCTGGAGTACTCGGGAGCCCTCTCGACAGGCATCCCCCGGCCGACACCCGTGGGCCCCGAGCTGGAGGACACGCCAACCAAGGACGCCCAGGAAGAGAGCCCCACGGGCGGCAGGCCGCCGAACAGAGGGGGCCCGCAGAGCTCGCCCTGGAGGGCCGTCGCGGGAGGGCCTGCGCGCTGCGCAGGGCATGCTGGGACACACTCCTCTGGCGCATCCGGAGGGGTACTCCAGAGTTCGTAATAAAAGGGAGGGGGTATAGACCCTCCAAGACAAGCCATTTCAGACCTCCCCCGTGGGAGAACCCTCCAAAACATCGTCCCCAGACCCCCCCATGCCCTCCAAGATAGCCTGGAAGAGACCCCCCCCGAAATGAGACCCCCCTCCCTTTCTTACGAAATCTGGAGTACAACCCGCGGCGAGAGGTCGAAAAGGGGCACCGCCAAGACGATCGACCATGAAAAGGCCCTTGTGGTCGCGTGAAGAAAATACGGAAGCCCCTCTTTGCGAGAGCCGGACGTTGCCTTCCGCTGAGCTGCAGGGTGCAGGTGATTTGGGTGTCCCGAGACGGTGCTGTGACAGACCGTGCGGTGGCCTCGAGATCCCAAAACACCAGGCCCGTCGGATCGTCAGCGCACGTTCTGGGGGACCCTGAAGACCCCAAATATTCCCCCTGTAGAGGGACAGGCCCGACTTAAGTCTAGAGGGCCCCAGCAAGAGCCAGGGATATACTCAACCGCCGCGACGTCATGATTCTTTCGTGACGTCGACTCCCAGAGGTCTTGACACATTCCCAGGACCCGTTTTTCATCCTGAGTCGCTTTTCGGCGGCCCCGAACCCCGGTCAGGGCCCCCAGAGGCCGAAAATAGCGAAGAGCTGGGATGTCTCTTTGGCCGTTTTGGAGCCGTCGTGGGGCCGTCTTGGGGCGCTTTTGAAACCTATTGCCGGTCTTGAGGCGATCCTCGGGGCCTCTTGGAGCGTCTTGCAGCGTCGAGAAGCGGAAGAAGCGGAAACTCCAAAATTGCTCAAAAACCTTCGGACCATCAGTGTTGTTTAACCTCTCCGAGCTCTTTTGGGAGGCCTCTTGGAGGCCTCTTGGGCATCTTGGGGGCCTCTTGAGCCGACTGGAGGCCGTCTTGGGCGTCTTGGACCGTCTAGTTGCCTTCGGCCCATCCCGCCATCGTGCCTGGGTTGTGGGTCCCTGGGCCCCTTTCTGGGGTCTGTCTGGCGCCGTTGTTCGGCCGCTCTGGGCCGAAGGGGGAGTGAGAGAGAGAGAGAGAGAGAGAACCAAAACAAAAACACGGGACACGGCTCGACGCACGGCTGGCCGGCATCACAGATATGATCGTGGTGAGGGGGGAGAGGGATGAGGAGGAGGAGGAGGAGGAGGAGGAGGAGGAGGAAGAGAGGAGGAGGAAGAGAGGAGGAGGAGGAGAGGAGGAGGAGGACGGCGAGGAGGACGAGAAGGAGGAGAGGAGGAGGAGGAGGAGGAAGGAGGAGGAGGGAGGGGGAGGAAAAGGAAGAGGAAGTGAAACGGAAAGAGGCGGAGGAGGAGGAGAAGGAGGAAGAAGAGGAGGAGGAGGAGTGCAGTGGTGGAGGAGGAAGGAGGAGGGGGAGGAGGAGAACGAGGAGCAGCAGGAGGAGGAGAGGAGGAGAAGGAAGAAGAGGAGGAGAAGGAGGAGGAGGAGCAGGAGGAGCAGCAGGAACAGGAGCAGGAGGAGCAGGATGAGCAGGAGGAGCATCAGCAGCTGGAGGAAGAAAGAATGAGACCAGAGTAAACCAAGGATGCACAGACGATGCTGTGGTACACCCTCCCGTCCCATGCCCGCTCCTCACGAGTCCCATCAAGCATTCCTTTTCAGAGCCAGAGGCGTCCCTTTGAAAGAGGAGTGCCCCATGGGCCTTTGGCGAAATTGGGGGGGGGGGGGGGAAAAAAAAAACATGTGTGAATTCATTGTATCAAGTACTTCGGGCCTCTTTGGGGTTTGTTGTGGGCCTCTGCGGGGCCTCTTGGGACCTCTTGGCGGTTTCTTGGCAGCATCTTGGGCCGTCTTGAGGGTCTCTTGGGGCCTCCTGGGGGGCTCTTGGAGCGAAGATCTGGAGTCCTCATGTCACATTCCCCTTCTCGGGCCGCTGTCGGGTCGCGTCTGGGGCTCCTCGTGGGGCCGTTCCGGGCGTTTGGGGGCCATCCACAGGCCTCCGAAGCCCATGGGCAATGAACAAGCGAATTCTTCAATCATGCACAGTTTTCCGCAAGTTTTTGAAACATGTTACGCTCTCGGGGCCACTTGGGAAGCCTCTGGGGCCCTCTTCTGGACCTCTGGAAGCTGCTTGGGTGCGTCGTGAAGGCGCCTTGGGGATCCTTGGGCCCATCTTCGGGCCAGCTTGGACCATCTTGGCGGCCTCTTGGGCCGTCTTCAGGCCATCCTGGGTCGATTTGGAGCCGTCTTGGGAGGCTCTGGAGCGCTCCTGAAGCTGTCCTGGAGGCGTCCCAACAGGTCTCTCGGAGGCCTCCTGGAAGCAGTTCCGAAGCCTCTTGGGGCCCGTTTCGGTGCCTGTCGGGGGCCGTTTGGGGGCCCCTTGTGGGCTTCTCGGGGGCCTCTTGGGTGCATCTTGGGGCCTCTTGGGGGCCTCTTAGGGGCATCTGGGGGCATCCTGGGGGCATCCTGGGTGCCGTTTTGGGGGGCCTCTTGGGGGCTTCACGGGAGCCTCTTGGGGGCCTCTGGGGGGCCTCTTGGGGGCCTCTGGGGTTTCTTGGGCCGTCTTGGAGGCCACTGGAGCCGACCCCACCTACTCCGACCACATCTGGGAGGCCTAGAACAGAACAGCCTCCAGGAGAGGTCAGAAGGAAGGACGATCCATGCCCAGACTTGCGATGTCCTCATTTTGTCAATACAGGGCCCCTGGAAGTCCTGATCCTTTCCCCGGGGCCAGTTTTTCATCCTGAGTCGTTTTTCGACGGCCCTGGGGCTCAGCGAGGGCCCCCCGAGGCTGAAAACGACCAAAAACCTCCCGTCCTGACTTTGCGACGCGAGCATGTCTGTCGGCGGCGAGCCCAGGGGGAACGTCAGAAGGGGTGGGCCTTCTCAGAAGGCTCGGAAGGCCTCTGGCCTTCTGAACAGTTTTCTGAGCCTTCTCCGAAGACCGAGAAGACTTTTCAAAGGCTAGAGGGCGTCTGAGAAGCCCCGCGCCTTCTGAGAAGGCCTCCTCCTTCTCATTTCCCTCCCCTCGCTCGCCGCCGGGTCTGGGTGCTGGCTTTTTTGTATTCAAGCAAATGACTCTCCGCGCGGATTTCTTGGATTTGCGCTGGGTTCAAGAAATCCTCGCGGAACTCTGGAAGTCTACGTTTATGGCGCTTGTTCTTCTTCGAGAATCTGAAAGGGGCCCAAGGACACACAAATAAATACACAAATCCCCCGATTCCCTACATGTTTCCATGTTTGGGGTGTCCGTCTTCCTCCCCACTTCCAATATTTCCCCACATGCTCCTGGGAATCGACAGTGAATTATGTCTGTGTCTTGCTTTCCCTCCTGAGAATCTTGGTCTGCACGGTTCCCTCCGGGGCCGTAGGCGACCCGAGAAGGAGGAGGAGGCAGAGGAGGAGGAGGAGGGAGGACAAGGAGAAGGGAGGGAGACGGAGGAGGGAGAGGAGGAGGAGGAGGAAGGAGGAGGAGGAGGAGAAGGAGGAAGAGGAGGAGGGAGGAGGAGGAGGAGGAGGAGGAGGAGGATGGAGGAGGAGGAGGAGGAGGAGGGAGGAGGAGGGAGGACGAGGAGGAAGAGGGAGGAGGCGGGAGGAGGGAGGAGGAGGGAGGACGCCTTATAGGCCCTTCGCGAGAACCCCCCCCCCCCCAACTGGGCCCAAGGCCCTGGGCCGCCCGGCCCCCCCCCCCCCACTCGGCGAGCGGCGCGCCTGCTGCGCCTGCTCCAGGGCGCTGGCGCGCGCCAGGGAGCTCCGCCGCCGCGCGGGCGACCCCGGGGGCGCGCCCGCGCCGGGGCCCACCAGCAGCCTCCGCAACGCCAGCCCCTGCAGGGGGCGCACGAGGACACGGCGGCACGAGCAGAAGAAGAAGAAGGAGAAGGAGGAGGAGGAGGAGGAGGAGAAGAAGGAGGATAACAAATGAAGGAGACAACTAATAAGATGATGAATAAGAAGAACAAGAAGAAGACGAAGACGAGTCATAAGAATAATAAGAAGATGATGAAAACGAAGACGAAGAAGAAACACAAAACAATACTAATAATAATGATAACGATAATAATAAGGAAGCGAATAACAAGAAGAAGACACATAAAAATAAAGATAATAATAAGAATAAGAAAAAGAAACGGCATAAACATAAACAGTTGGCGCTCTGCGCGGATTCCTTGGATCCGCGCTGGGCGCCCCCCAGCGCCGCCTCCGGCGCCGCCCCTGGCGCGCTCCGCGCGCCAGAAAGGGCGGCCAGGGAGGGGGGCCCAGCGTAGATCCAAGAAATCCACGCGGAACGCCAATAGTTTTTTCCGCGAGTGAAACCATCAAGACCCAAATCTGCAATGCAAGAACACGTCGTGTGTGGGCAACCGACCAACCGAACAAAAACTGTTCTGATAAAAATGTAAAAAATACTCCAAAAATAGCCCCACTATTATTTATCATTATTCTTTTTTACTATTCTTATTAAAAGTATGAGCATTTTAAATGTTATTATTATTCGTATTATTTCTATTAATATTATTCGTATTATCATTATCACTATTATTATGAATAATATTATCATCATTATTATTATTAGTATTATTGCTTATTAGTTTTATTATTATTATTATCATTATTAGTAGTAGTAGTAGTAGTAGTAGTAGTAGTAGTAGTTGTAGTAGTAGTAGTAGTAGTAGTAGTAGTAGTAGTAGTAGTAGTAGTAGTAGTA